CCAGTTTACTATTGTCATTAGTTTTTAATACCATTCAAAAACAAAATATTATTATGAGGAAATGCATAAGCATTRAAGGCTCATGAAAGATTTACAGCAAATTTAAGGTTTTTATCAACTATAGCCGAAGTCATACCGATCTACAATATTCAACTATAATATCAAAACCAGCACTCAGTAAAATTATTCCCGAAACATGTGATGCAATTTATTCTGCCCTTAAAGACACTTACTTAAAGGCAAGATAGATAATTAAAAGTTAATATCTATTAATAATATAATAGCTATTTAGTTATATCCTTAGAAATAATATAAGATTAAGTATAATATTATATAATATTTTAATATTGTAGGTAGGTACCTTAAAACACTTGATATAGAACATTAGCCAGCAGGTACAACAAACACAAATACTATTTCATATACAATTTAAAATGACAACTTGTTTTATTAAAAAATAAAAAGCTAGAAATAAAATAATATTCATACTGGGAAAACTAATTAAATACAATGTATATTAGGTATATGATATTAAAATTACATTAAAATCAAATACAGACTTTTCACTTTTATGAAAAAAAAAACAATTCTTGGATTTATAATGAAAATATTAATAATAAAAAAGTGTATTGTATATACCTATTGTGTATTATATATTATAGTGTTAAYAATTAATTATCTGGTGTTTTTTGTGTTTCTATGTTAACTAGTGGGTCAAAGTTGTGATGCATAAATGATTGCTGAGTATCGACTGAGGGACTTTGTTGAAAACTTGGATAATTTGGCACCGGTTAAAAATATTGAGGATATTATTGAAGAAAAAATGACTGTCTGAAAGGAGGTTGAGGATGTGCCTGATATCTAGTTGATGATTGAAGGGAAGCTGAAGTATCAAAATATGGTTGATTTGGGTGAATTGATAATGTGTAATGACGATTTAAATTCCCGAGTTCGGCTTCATCAGAGCATATTTTAAGTAATTTTCACTGGGGGGCACTTCAATAAAATTGTCTACCAGAGGAACATAGAAAGAAAAACAACTCTCCTATCTCAACAATTTTGATATAGG